TGCGTTTTTTTTGCTTCAGCTTTTGAAGGTCCTGCTTTGGGATGAGGAATGATTGGTGAACCCATTCATCTTTTGACTGACTGTTGCTTAGTAAGGCATAAGGGGCAGGACGACCGACCCACCACTCACTGCCCACCACGGAAATAACCCGGCACTGTGAAGCAGAATGGGTCAAGTTCTCGCAGAGGTGCGGAGGTGCGTGATGTGTGCGCGCCCTGATTGGATCACAAACTGACTCGGACATGTTCGTACATGATGGAGTTTCTCCTGCCTGCCTGCCTTCATGGAGATAGCGAAAAGGAGATGACAGAATTGAATTGTGTCGGGAAGGATATACTTTACATCTGCTTCATAGTTTCGAGGAGATTCTAGGATTCTAGGATGTCCTGATGTTAGAAGGCCTGCGGGCTCGGCTGTTCTCGAAGTCAAAGGGTTTCCAGATCTATGGTTGCCAGTCTCTACTGCTGATCTACTGTGCCTGGTCACTCAAGCACCTGGCTTTGGATGTGACATTTCCCCGCAACCCACACATTCACAAACACCTGCGCGTCATTAGTCATGTCTTCACTCTGCCAAGCAGCTCTGCCAATGTACCCACCCACCAAGCCCAAAAAGCACCCCGCGTCATCGATGGCCAACGGGTTTCTCTTTCGCACACCGAGTGGCCAATGTAAAGAGGAGCGAGGCCGTAATCGAAGCCCATTTGAAGAGCACGAAGGGTCGGGACCTGAACTAGTCAGGCATATGTATATATAGTGAGAGAGGTTCATAGTGTTCATAGCCTCATTTGCCTCATTCATATAATTTAGAGTTTTAAGTGACTGTATGGTTGGCCAGGCAAACAAATTGAAAGACCTGAAGGACCTTCAAAGCAGCGGCCACTGTCAGGTTTTGCTGATTCCACGGCCTTGTCCCCCGTATCAATTTCATCTGAGGGCCGCGCAAACGATTCGATCCAATGCCTCAGCGCACGTCTCGAAGCCATGAGTGTTGTCTCACCATGAGGATTCAAACCACCCCCGCCACACAGTATCCGCACCATCGCGATTGAGGCCTTGTACATCCTCTACTGGAACCCCATAAATGTTCTCCAAGTCATATGAAAGGCAGGGGTAATGAGACAGAAAGGAACAGGATGGGACGGTGGGTTGGTTTGGAACCTCAATATCGGTCAAATCTGGAAGTGGCCCTTTCATTGGCATCTGTTTACTTGTTTTGCTTCACCTGTGTTTGCTCGTTTTCTCTTTCAGTCTTGCTTGTTAGCTGATTTTGACGTTTATGTTCAATTTGATGTTACGGTCTTTCTTTGCTTGTTGCTACCTTGTTTTACATTATCTGTTCGTCTGTTCGGTGTTTCCCTTTGTTTACTCTTGTCCTGTCCCTTTCCTTACATTGTTGTTTTTAATTCCCTTTGCATCCTTTGCCATATCTTTTCACCCTTTTCCTTTTGCCATCTTCTTCTGGATTGTACGGAAACGCAAAGCACAGGAAAGGAAAACAATGAAACATGAAAACCCAACAAAACAAAGAAGAAACAGAAGAAGAAAAGCGATGGACCAGGCAAAACACACAAAGAAAGCAAACTGAGTGAAAGAAGGACAAAAGGAAACAAAGAAAACTAGAATGAAAAAAATAAGAAAACAACGAACAAAATAGAGACTTTAGAGCGAGGTCGAAACAAACAACAACAAAAACAACTGACAACCAAGACCAAAAAATTGAAAACAAGAAAACAAACAAACAAACCGAGTCAACGAAGAGAACCGGTCAAAAAAAATGCATTGCATTTACCAAGTCAGCCTAGTTAACAACTATCTTTAAAGCCCCCCGTGGACTCACTCGTGAAATGTTGGTTCGCTGTTGCAAGTGCTTCATGTTTTGGCCATCAGTTTCTTCCGCCATAACTCGCTGACGCAACGGCCCAAAAAGCTCTGTGCTTCCCTGCTCTGTGCATCTTTGCTCTTCGCCCGCATACCTGGGCCCAAGGGTGATTCAACGAAAATTCATACACTCACACCATCTCACAACCCTACCCAATCTTACGTATATGCATTTCCCTGTGTCCAGCGGATGGTTTGGTTGCGGACCGAAATCTCAAAAAAGTGAGCCAGTGATCATCTTTGACAGCATTTGACGGTCATACTGGAGTCATACTGGTTTACTGGAACATCCCCTACACAATTCGCCGAAAAAAACCTTTCCGACAGCCTGAACTTCAAAAACATAGCGGGCAACCGAACTTAGCTCGTGCAGGAACTCGTTAGTGCAACAACTCGTTAGTTCTTTTTGCCACCCGAACTCCTGACTGGTCCCGGATGGATGGTTAGAGTTTCTGTCGTTACCTATCCACGAGCGCCTGATTAGGTGCATGTGCAGTATCACGGGCGACTTTTTCGTCCTAGAAAAATTATAGGACCGGAAAAAACCACACGTTGACAATTTCACCAAACACAGGAGCGGACAATTGGTGGTTGGTGGTTGGTTGGTCGTGGTTTGTTGGTTGTTGGTGGTTGGTGGTTGGTTGGTGGTTGGTGGTTGGTAGTTGATGGTAGTTGGTTGGTGGTTGGGTGGTGGTTGGTTGGTGGGTTGGTTGGTGGTTGGTGGTGGTAGGTTGGGTGGTTGGTGGTTGGTTGGGTGTTGGTTGTTGGTTGTTGGTTGTTGGTTGGTTGTTGGTTGGTTGGTTGGTTGGTTGGTTGGTTGGTTGGTTGGTTGGTTGGT